GGTGTTGAGGGTCAACGTCTATGCTTTGGCCTGGCCTTGAGGTCAAAGCCTTGGCCTTGGGTTTGGCTTTGAGGGTCAAAGGCTTGGCCTGGTCCTAGAGAGTTAAAGCCTTGGGCCTTGGCCTTCAGTGGGGGTCCAGGTTCTTAAAATACAGGAACACAGTGGAAAACACAGGGACCCTTATCTTCCTTTGTATTCCTGTATTTCCTGTAAAATTCACTTTTAGTGTCTTTTTTTTTACCGATTAGCTCATTTTATCTGAAATTAGAAATATATTTTCAAGGCTTATATGGTTCATTTCTCGTGTGCTACATGCTTTTTTTTGGTATGTCGTTTAAAGTCCTGGGTAGTGGTTGCCAGGCCTACATTAGTGGCAGTTAAAAATGTGGAAATACAAGAATTGGCCTGAGATAGGAGATAGAATCAACATTATAGGCTACCAGGCAATCGTTGACCTGGTTGACCATATGTGCATTTTAAGGACTCTCAAAAATTTAACATTGTTTTGGGAAAATAACTTTTTAAACAACTAAGATGAGCATTAAGCTTGTGATTAATTTTCATTGTTACCGTAGAATATTCTAGAAGAGTGTTGCATAAAGGCTGCAGTGACACATTTTTATATTCATATTTCTTTCAGTGCAATGATGAAATACTGCGTAAGCTCTTCCAACTTGAGAAAGAGAGTGATTTTGGTTGCAGTGGCCTGTCTGCTGCTGACAATTCACTTTTGATGTTGGGAGGAATGCATCTACGAGGGGATAGCATTATAAAAACTAGGAGGAGGCCAGGTGCTTGGTACAAGTTGAAGACGCATAAAACTGCCCATCCTGAGAAACATACCAATGCAACAGTGGGAGATTCCCTTCTCTAAAAACTTCCACCTGTGAAAAATGTTGCTACCGCTATACCACCGTCGAAAACGGTGTGCTGGAGATACGGAGCAAGTCTGAACTCAAGGAAAGGGGCTGCAAGAAAAGGTTGCCAGACGCCATAATCCTCGGCGTGAAAAAGTGTGGCACCACCACCCTGAGGAACTTCTTGAGTTATCATCCAGACATCGCCTTCACACAGAAGGAGCTGAATTTCTTCACATCCTCTGACAGAATTGAGGGGCTGGAATTTTACAGGAGTGAGATGGTCTACTCCACTCTGGACCAGATCTCGATGGAGAAAACCCCGGCTTACTCCCTCCACCCGAATGTCCCTGCTATGGTCAAGGCATTGCTACCCGATGTCAAACTCATCATCATCATGCGGGATCCAGTGGAGAGGGCCATTTCAGACTTCGTGCACGTACAGGTCACCGTTGCCAAACACTGTCTGAAGCAAAAGCCTTTGTGTCCTTTATTTCAGAGCTTAGGACATCACTTTACCCAAGGGATGTGATTTCTTCATCCATTCCGAAATCAACAATACCTTCGAGGAGTCGGTGATAGACTCCAATGGACGTGTCAAGGTAGAAAGTCAGTTAATCTCCAGAGGGGTTTACGTCCAGGATTTACAGCGATACCTGAGTACTTTAATCCCGAACAGATTCTCGTATTAGACGGGGAGGCATTCATAAAGAACCCTTATCCAGCTGTCAAACTCGTGGAGCAATTTCTAGGCGTCAGGGATTACTTCACACGTGACCATTTCTACTATGAAGTCCAGAAGGGATTCTTCTGTCTCAATAAGCCCATCCCTAACAACTGTATGAGGCGGGCGAAGGGGCGCCTCATCCGGAAGTAAACGATGAGACGCTGGGAAACTGCGTGACTACTACCGGCCTTACAACAAGGCGCTGAACGACCTCATGAAAGTTGACTTTCATTGGTCATCATAGAATTAACTCTATCAAAAACACAGAGTTATTTTGATATAAAGCAGGACGACAGTCATGACTGCTAACATTGTTCCATGGAGACCCCCATCTTTGTGGTCACGTGCTTATCTCAGAGGGGATATCATTGAAATTGGTACGTCCCATCATGTTCAAGATACAATGGCATGACGGGACACATTTTTAACCTAACCTTCCCAAATCCCTTTGCGCGAAGGGAGGATTTTGTAGGATGAGGGTATACATGGCAAAAATGTGTTGCTTACGTGTGGAGTTGCACTGTGTCATTAGGCCTGATTTCTTATTTTTATTATGCTCAGCATGCATAAATTTAGGCATATATAGACTTGAATCCTCCCCCCTGCTCCAGGATGTCACTGGCTCTGCCTCAACATATTGACAGTGATTGCGGGAGGATTTTGCAGGATTGCTAAAGCAGTGGTCACTCCTCCTAGGAACACATTCAAGAAAACAACAGAAGATTTTGGAGGATGAGGCTGGATGTAATTTTTGCACTGAGGCAGTCGAAGGGTTTTGCAGAATTGAGGTTGTTGCATCCTTGCCAAAATGCCTAGGGAGTTAGGGTTAATAATATGCCCCCCTGAAAAAGCCAGCGGCATCCACGAGACAGTCCATCAACAGGTAAATTAAAAATATGCCTAATCAGATTTGATCCTCTCCTTTTTTTCTGAAATGCTGGACCTCAGCAAGTATCTTTGGGAATGTGAAAGTGCGGGCATCAAAATGAGTATTTTCCAGTAGTTGGACAAAAAAGCCTGCTTTCCTTGGCTGAAATGGACTTTAAAAAAAGTACTTGAGGCTGTTGGCCGGCCCACTGATCTCCATAAAGATCTAGAAAGTTTGTTCTGTTCTGGTTCATGTTGAGTAGGTAAATTCACTCAAGAATATATCACGCCAACCTTTGACCTTATGACTCGCATGGAGTGGATGTGGAAATTGCCTTAGTTGTCCATGAAGTACTTGGATGCACGATCCTTGAATGCAGGTAGTGTCCTAGAGTTGACGACGGCGCTCCAGTAAGCACCGCCCCATGTGCTCTGACCAATCACAGCCGTGATTTATGTCCGACGTGCGTACACTAAAGTCCGACATGCGTGCACGCGCGTATGATGCGCGCGGAAGGAAAATGCAGCGTGGCATTGAGAGGAGCACGTGCGCACTGGGCGGAGCTTACTGGATCGGTCCATACCTCCATTCGAATGTGGGGAGGGATCCAGTCTTAATCACTTCCATCGTTTAAAAAAAACTACTGAAATAGACCCGTCCGAAAGCATGCAACATATTTTTCTAACAGAACATTTATATAAAATATACATGTACTTTCTTGCCATTTTATTAACTTTTTAATTTTGATACCTAAATACGTTGAGCTTAAAGTTAACTTAATTGTTAATAAGGCCAAAAAAAAAAGTCTCCAGTTTCTGGTATGGAGCTTGCCCAAAAAGTGGTGCGGCGGCGACGCGGCTTTTTTTTTTTTTTTTTTTTACCTGATTTTTTGGCTTCAAATGTCGGCTGATGACTGCAAATGGTGCCCGACTAAACTTAGTGCAAATATATGGGAGTCCAGAGAGGCCACATAAAGCTTATTCTCGACCATAACCCAATCTAAAAACAAGTTAAAATTGTGCAACAGCAGGATTCCAGTCAAACCAGTGAGTTTGGCGGTTTTGAGACATCATCTCTCATTGAAAAAAAAAACGTTTTCATTTTGCCGACGCGCATGGCTACGGCGACGTGCGCGCATACCAGAAACCGGAGACTTTTTTTTTTTTGGCCTAAGATATCTTTCTTTCATATATAGTTCTTGGAATGGTTATAAATATACATGGCGGTCGGTGGATTCACTTCTTACAGCCAGTAATTGTCTATTCACATTTTTACATGGAGATCAGAGTCCAGTTTAGATAGGATGATTGAATCGTTGCCACACCGTCAAAACCCACTCCTGTTCAACATAATATTTCGAGGCGAGGTTTTGTTTTTGAGAAATGTATGCTTAAAAATAATGGTGTAAAATGTTCTTACACCATGATGGATCTATCGACTTCGGCGCTTGATTTCGTTTAAATGATCAACTTAGGCGCTCCATACTATTATGGCATGACGTTCCTTACTATGATGGCATGAAGATCAATCAGTATACATACATGTCATTCTAAAGGCTTCGCGGGAAGAAATAAGTTTTCCTTTGAATATAGGTTAGGCCAAAAAAAAAAATATTCGGTCTCTGGTCAGACCAAAGTTCCGGAATTGACGCGGCCACGTGGCTTTTTTTTTTTTTTTGGCTTTTTTTTTTTTTTTTCAAGCTTGGATTGTACAGACAAGGTGGGGTACTATTTTGCTTTTTGGTGTCCTCATGTACATTGGTGTCCTCCATAATTTGCCTTGGTGCTTTCGATCATTTGCCTTGGTGCAATTTCCCATTCCTTGGTGCTCTTGGTAAAAAAATAAGGAGGTGCGGCAATAGAGGGCACTGTTGGAGCTACTGCGGAACATTTTGGAAAAAAAAGATCGACGCGCATGCTTAAAATCGACGCGCGCGCTGACCAGAGACCGACTTATTATTTTTTTTTGGCCTTATAGTGCCTCCCATGATTTGTTCAACTCAAAAGTTTTTGTATGATCATGTCAGCTTTTGTTACTATCTTAATTATGAATACAGCTTTATATTTTGGTCATGCAAGTTGCATTTGTGCTAACTCCATACTTTGACATTATGCAGCCAAACGTGTATCGTTTTGAGATAAACAACTCAACTTTAACTTAACTCGCTAATAACTTAACTTCACGTGTGATACCAATGTTTTAAGTATATTTTTAATGTGTGCTTTCTGTGTTATGCATTCCATTGTCGCAATGTTTAAAATATTTTATGTGTGCTTCTTTTTGTTGTAAGTTGCGTTCCATTGCATAGACGAATCCGGGTAGGAGGCCCCCTTCAATGGAGAAACCAGTGGACTAGCTATTGTACGAGGCAACTGTTCCATGATGGATTATCTGAGTAATAGCTATAGCACAATGCTTTCTCCATTAAAGGGGGCTATGTTAGAACTATAGTGTGCCCGGAACGGAAAAAAATACATTTTTCATATTTGATATTTTTTTATATATATGAATAATGACAAGAAAGCTTATTATGTAATTGTTATTATTCTTTCTTTTAGTTTTCTTGAATTGCTTATAGTTTTAGAAAATATCAGCACAAATTATATGTTTGGATTTTGCCCGCAAATTCAGAAAATGGGCGAAGATTCTTTAAGAGAGCGGATCGACATCCGGGTCGATAGCGTGACGTCACTTCAGTTTAAAACCACGCCCACTGCATATTAAGTAGCATTGGAACCGGAAGTTAACGCAACTGACGTGTTTATCCAATGGGCGCTAGTAATCAGTTGTGCGCGCGCGTGTATGACGTTTTTACTAACGAACCGGATAAAGAAATTAATAGAAAGTAATGATAAACAGGGAATTGAAATACTCATAACTCTCCAAGGTTTTAAGACACAAGTTTGAGCAGCAAATTTTAATAATAAAGCTTTCATTACCGAGAATGGTGCCTAGGTTTAGCAAATAAACACAATTGTTTTCACTTTGTAAACACGTTTAGAAGCTAAACATTATGTGTCTTATTCCTTACATCTATTTTCAATTGCTAAACACCATCCGTCCTCATTCTAAACACGTTAAGTATTTAAACATGTTCACAAACTGATAGCAAGAAAGTGTTAAGAAAAGTGTTTAATTACTAAACCCAGTTTTTTGCAGTGCAAGGAGAGACTCCTATAGACTTAGACACACATTTGAAATTACTTCTTCCCAATAATTTTACATGTACATGTGTACTTTTCTCGACCTAAGGACTGTTTTTAACCGCTTAACGCCGGGTGACGGCTCTACACGCAACTCGATAAAAGCCAATAAGCCGGGGGACTGCTATTGCCGCATTCCTGCTGCATGGCGCATCCATTCATAGACATAGGCTGAATGCCTGCACGTGCACATTCCACCCATTTACATGTATGTGCAGCTGTCCGTGGCCTAACAATACCGGCGTCAAGGGTTAAGCAAGTCTCGACATTGAAATTCCTTCTAGAAATGGTAGTTAACCTGAGTGTTATAGAGACACTCAAAACTGTCAGCCTAATGCATAACAGTCTCTCCCAAAAGTCAAATTATTACTACAAAATGTCTCCCTGAGGTACTGTTTAATGTTGTAGGCCAAACTGTTTTTAAGTAACACTGAAATATATATAAATATATCTTTTTTTAATAATAATATACCTCGTTCAAGTGAAGCCATTTCGATCGTGTTCCCTGAATCTATTATAAATTGTAAACTATCCAATGGGTTGGTGCCAGACTATGATTGGAGTGCGTTCCAAGCCTTATTTTTAAAAAAAATTTTTAATGTGGCTTAAACATTATGGTATGTTTAATCACAACATTTAAATAATGCATCAGAGCATGATGGTATTAATTGTAAAGCACTTTTATTTCATTGCTTTCATTTCTACTCGCAACTTCCAAAAATGGAAAGTTTACCTTCCTTTCAATTTAATATGGCCGATTCGTGAATAGTCTACAGTGCTTTATTAACTTTAAAGAGTTAGTGCTTTCTCTTTGCTGTGAGAATTAAAAAAGATCGTTAAGTTAATACAGTGTCTGAGCATTTAGAGACTTCTCTTGTACGCTGAATTGAATTTCGTCTATCGATCATAATTTAATGAACGTTTTCATGGAACTGTCTGCACCAGGACGATTGCCAAACGCAAAGAATCAAAATGTCTACTCTTTGCCGTTTTTTTGTCAGATTCCATGTCATTTGCAAACAGAATCGTCATCAAAACCCTGGCAGGAGAATAATGTAGGCACAAGACCCTATTCAGCC